CAATCACACACACACACCCCAACAGATACAACCACACACACACACCAACAGATACAATCACACACACCCCTACAGATACAATCACACACACACACCAACAGATACAATCACACACACACACCAACAGATACAATCACACACACACACCCCAACAAATACAATCACACACAAACCCCAACAGATACAATCACACACACACACCCCAACAAATACAATCACACGCACACCCAAACAGATACAATCACACACACCCCAACAAATACAATCACACACACACCCCGACAGATACAATTACACATGCACACCCAAACAGATACAATCACACACACCCCGACAGATACAATCACACACACACACCCCGACAGATACAATTACACACACGCTAACACCATCCCTGGCCCACACCCCTAACAGCAATATCCGCCATTCACATATAACTAATGGTGACGTCACCACAGGTGTTTGTGCCAGGCTAGGTACACTTTGTAGTCAAATGAATGCTCGCCGACAACACACACCATCACGCACACACCATCACACACACACCATCATACACACACCATTACACACACACCATCAAACACCATCACGCACACACACACCATCACACACACACACAAACCATCACACACCATCACGCACTCACACACCATCACGCACACACACACCATCACGCACACACACGCCGTCACGCACACACCGTCACACACACACCGTCACACACACCATCACACACACACACACCATCACACACACCGTCACACACACCATCACACACCATCACACACACCATCACACACACACGCCATCACACACACACACAAATGATCACACACACACACACAAACCATCACACACACACCATCACACACCCACACACACACCATCACACACACACTATTACGCACACAGACCATCACACACCCACACACACACCATCACACACACAGACCATCACACACACACCATCACACACACAGACCATCACACACCCACACACACACACCATCACACACACAGACCATCACACACCCACACACAGACCATCACACACCCACACACAGACCATCACACACCCACACACAGACCATCACACACACACACAGACCATCACACACACACTATCACGCACACCATCACACACACACACCATCACACACACCATCACACACACACCATCACACACCCACACACAGACCATCACACACCCACACACAGACCATCACACACCCACACACAGACCATCACACACACAGACCATCACACACACACACTATCACGCACACCATCACACACAAACACCATCACACACATACACACCCACACACAGACCATCACACACCCACAGACAGACCATCACACACACACACACAGACCATCACACACACACACCATCACACCCACACACACACCATCACACACACACACACGCCCACACACACACACCCACACACACACACCATCACACACACACACACCATCACACACACACACCATCACACACACACACCATCACACACCATCACACACACACACACCCACACACACACACCATCACACACACACCATCACACACACACACCATCACACACACACACCATCACACACCATCACACACACACACCATCACACACACACACCATCACACACACACACACCATCACACACCATCACACACCATCACCCACACACACACAGACCATCACATACACACGCACCATCACACACACACCATCACACACACACACCCACCATCACACACACACCATCACACACACACCATCACACACACACCATCACACACACACACCATCACACACACACACACCATCACACACCATCACACACCATCACACACACACACCATCACACACACACACCATCACACACACACACACCATCACACACCATCACACACCATCACCCACACACACACAGACCATCACATACACACGCACCATCACACACACACACACCATCACACACACACACCCACCATCACACACACACCATCACACACACACACCATCACACACCCCATCACACACACACCATCACACACACACTATCACACACCATCACACACACACCATCACACACACACCATCACACACCATCACACACACGCACATCACACACAACAACAACAACAACCGCCATTCGCCACTAAGTGGCGGTGACGTCACCACGATGCTTGTGCCAGGCCAAGTGCACCTTGAGGCCACGTGAAGTGTCGAAAGCCCGCTGGCAGGAGGTCACGGGGCAGACCCAGGTGCCACTGGTCGACTGACCGAGATGACCGAGATGACTGGCTGATGCACCACCTGTGCCCCCTACTGTGCCAACTTGCTGTGCTTTAGCCACCCGGCGCTCCGCTCGTTGTTGTGAGCGTCGCTCCTCCGCCCTCCGTTGTTGTTGGAGGGCGACTGCCTCCAACTGCCCAGTAGCGTCCTTCACGAGCCTCCTCCACTGAGGCCGATCTTGACACCGCTGGTACCAGTCATCGGCAAGTCCACTCAGCTCCACGTCCTCCTGTACCACATCACTCCATCTCTTCTCCAGCCCGTGCCGCGCCCGTCTAGCCCCCTCGATCCGGCCGAACAAAAGCTGTTTAGGCATGCGGTGGCTGGGCATGCGGGCTACATGACCCAGCCAACGCAGCCTTGCCTGCCGGAGGAGCTCACTGATGGGACTTTGCCCAGATCTTTCAAGGATTTGTGAGCTCCTCACACAATCCAGCCTGGTTAAACCCAGGATGGATCGTAGGCAGGCCAGCCTAAATGTTTCCAACCGGCGAAGATGCTCCACCAGGGGGGTCCACGTCTCGCAAGCGTAGAGAAGGGAGGGAATGACCGTGGCCGAGAAGACCTGAAGCTTCGTGCGGAGCGACAGACCAGGTAGCTTCCACACAGCGTTACGCAACCGATGAAAAGATATTGCCGCTCGACTGATTCGGAGTGAGACCTCTGCTGATAGACTGGAGCCGGTCATAAGCACACTGCCCAGGTATGGGAAACTCTCCACTCTCTCCACAACTGCCCCATCACCAATTGGGAGTTGTGGGGGTGGAGTGTCCGATGGTACAAAATACCCAGGCAGGTGCTTGGTTTTGGTGGGGCTGATGGTAAGGCCCCACCTCTTAGTGGCACGCTCCAGTCTCAGCAGCAGCGCCTCCAACTCCTCTTCTGAATGAGCAGCTATTACCAAATCATCGGCATACATAACGTGGTTGACCAATAGGGAGCCATCCCTTGATCGCACCCGGGCGTCGATCAGCCTCCCATTATATCTGTACCAAACGGAAATTCCCCCGGTACAGCTATTGAAGGCTTCACGAACTACGCGGTCAAAATAGATGTTAAATAATGTGGGAGCCAGAGGACATCCCTGTCGCACCCCAAGGTGTACAGGGAAAGGCTCCGACTCCCGGCCACGTAGTTTTACCCGGGCCCGCTCACCATCATGAAGGTCCTTAATGATCGTGAGCAGAGGGTCAGGGACTCCGAAAGCACGAAGAACAACCCAGAGTCCAGTCCTACTGATGGTATCATAGGCCTTGACCAGGTCAATAAAGCAGAGATGTAGGTCTTTTTGGAATTCCCTACACCTCTGCTGTAGCAGACGGACAGAAAATATGGCATCTGTGCAGGACCGCCCTTTCCTGAAACCGCATTGGGGCTCCGCAAGCCCCTCCTCAGCGTGCCTAGCAAGGCGATGTTGAATAATCCTTGCCAGGACCTTACCCGGCACACTGAGGAGTGAGATGCCCCTGTAGTTGTTACAGTCTGTGCGGTCCCCCTTCTTAAAGAGGGGGACCACCAGGGCATCCTTCCAGTCCTGCGGAACCCGTCCAGTGGTCCAGACTGTTGTTATGATGTCATATAGGGCAGTCTGTGCACAAACGCCACCCTCCCTCAGCATTTCGCTTGGGAGATCATCTCTGCCCGGTGCCTTCCCTGGTCTCAGACTCCGGATCGCCCTCAGTACTTCCTCAACAGCTGGAACCTCAGCCAGCCACTCACAGGGGGTGACCTCTTCCAATATTTGAGGCACCGCAGCCTCAGCAGGGTTATCCCCACTTTGTGCCATGATGTTTTCCTGGCTGAGAGAATTTCCCTCCCCCAGGACCTCACAGAAATGCTCAGCAAATCTGCAAACCTGTTCCTGGGGGTCGGAGATTGGATCACCGTTTTTTCCTCTAATGATGGTAATAGGTGTGGCGCTGCAGGTTACTTTTTTGATGGAGTTAAATAGTGATTTGTGATCACGGGCCACTGAGGCAGACTCCATCTCCTCAGCAACCCGCGACCACCACCCATCCTTACAACGCCTTACGGCTCTCCGAACTTCCGAGCGAAGGCTGCGGTAAACCTCCTCATTCTCTGACGTGGGATGCTGTAGGCGATGAGAGTGGGCCTGTCGCTTTTTCTCAATTAACCTGAACACCTCCTCTGTCAGCCAGGGTTTCTGGGGAGGTCTGGACCGCGTACCCAAAGCAGCCATTGCAGCTGCATGAGTCACAGTCCTAAACCTCGCCCATTTACCCTCGACATCAGGTGGAGTGGGGGACGATGCCAACCCCAGCTGCAAGCGATGATGAAATTCTCGCTTGCAACTTTCATCAGCTAACACACACACACCATCACACACACACCATCACACACACACACACCATCACACACACACTATCACACACACACACCATCACACACACACTATCACACAAACACACCATCACACACACACACACCATCACACACCATCACACACACACACCATCACACACACACACCATCACACACACACACACCATCACACACACACACCATCACACACACACACTATCACACACACACACACCATCACACACACACACCATCACACACACACACACACCATCACACACACACACACACCATCACACACACACCATCACACACACACACTATCACACACACACCATCACACACACACCATCACACACACACACTATCACGCACCTGGTCGCAGTGTAGAACCCCCTGCCAGCCGCGGGTTGGATCCGGTCGTGAGTGTGGAACTGGGAGGCCATGGGAGACCAGGGGCAACACAAATGAGAGGATGAGAGAGACACACGGGGACGGCAGGAGGAGGTGAGAGACGCAGAGGTAGGAGGAGGGAGGTACGGGGTGAGGAGACAGAGACAGGGGAGCAGGGAGGAGGAGGGGGTGGTGGTGGGGACGGGGGCAGCAGAAGGAGTGAAGGTGACGAGTCGGGGAGAGGAGGAGGAGGAGGGACCACGGGGAGCCAAAGGTAGGCAGATGAGTGAGAAGAACGGCAGGCGATGTGTCAGAAGGTCGTCAGGTGAGAAAGAACAGATAAGGGGGTGGTGGAGGAGGAGGAGAGCGGGGAGTGTTTGACAATGTGGGGCGATGGAGGAGGCGACGGCAGGGAGATGTGGAGGACCGGGGAAGGAGGCAGGGAGATTCGGGGCGGGTGGGACGGAGAGAGAACGTCCAGAGAGGAGACGACAACACGAGGAGGACGAGGAGGAGGGTGACGAGGAGGTCGAGAGACGAGGAGGAGAGTTCGGGTTAGAAAGGAGGAACGCAGAAGGGGAGACGAGATACCCGGTGAAGCACAGGTGCACACACGAACACGAACACACGAACACACACACACGAACACACACACACGAACACACACACGAACACACACACACACGAACACACACACACACGAACACACACACACGCACTTGTACAAGACTCCCCCTCCTCCCTTGTACAGCGCACGCAGTGGGAACAGGGTCTCAGGCTGAGCCATAAAGGCGCCGGGTTAACGAGTAACTAGTGAGGAGCCCCCCCCCCCTCCTCACCCCTCCCCCCCTCCTCACCCCTCCCCCCCTCCTCACCCCTCCCCCTTCCTCCTCACCCCCCCCCCCCCTCCTCACCCCTCCCCCCTCCTCACCCCTCCCCCTTCCTCCTCACCCTCTCCCCCTCCTCACCCCTCCCCCCCTCCTCACCCCTCCCCCTTCCTCCTCACCCTCTCCCCCTCCTCACCCCTCCCCCTTCCTCCTCAATCCTCCTCCTCACCCCTCCCCCCTCCTCCTCACCCCTCCCCCTTCCTCCTCAACCCCCCTCCCCCCTCCTCCTCCTCCTCCTCACCGCCCCACGCCTCCACCTCGGCCCCCAGCGCCGCAGAGCTGGCACCGGGGCGCAGGATGGCTTCGTGCATGGCTCGCTCCGACACCTGCGCGTCACACAGAGTGTGTCACAGTGTGTTAGTGTGTGTGTGTCACAGTGTGTGTGTGTCACAGTGTGTGCGTGTCACAGTGTGTTAGTGTGTGTGTGTCACAGTGTGTTAGTGTGTGTGTGTGTCACAGTGTGTTAGTGTGTGTGTGTCACAGTGTATTAGTGTGTGTGTCATAGTGTGTGTGTGTCAGTGTGTTAGTGTGTGTCACAGTGTGTTAGTGTGTGTGTCACAGTGTGTGTGTCACAGTGTGTGGGTTGTGTGTCACAGTGTGTTAGTGTGTGTTAGTGTGTGTGTCACAGTGTGTGTGTCACAGTGTGTTAGTGTGTGTGTCACAGTGTGTTAGTGTGTTCGCCCTTTCGGTGTCAACAAGAATCAACAACCGCTCACAAACGGACACGAGCGGAATGTCCCATTCACACCACGCTGCGTGTGACGCGTCACACGCGGACAAAGGTCCCCCAGGTAGCCTACACAGGCTGATGGGGCAAGTGCTGCTGCGAGCATCAGGCAAAGGTCCCCCGGGTAGCCTACACAGGCTGATGGGGCAAGTGCTGCTAGCGAGCATCAGGCAAAGGTCCCCCGGGTAGCCTACACAGGCTGATGGGGCAAGTGCTGCTAGCGAGCATCAGGCAAAGGTCCCCCGGGTAGCCTACACAGACTGATGGGGCAAGTGCTGCTAGCGAGCATCAGGCAAAGGTCCCCCGGGTAGCCTACACAGGCTGATGGGGCAAGTGCTGCTAGCGAGCATCAGGCAAAGGTCCCCCGGGTAGCCTACACAGGCTGATGGGGCAAGTGCTGCTAGCGAGCATCAGGCAAAGGTCCCCCGGGTAGCCTACACAGGCTGATGGGGCAAGTGCTGCTAGCGAGCATCAGGCAAAGGTCCCCCGGGTAGCCTACACAGGCTGATGGGGCAAGTGCTGCTAGCGAGCATCAGGCAAAGGTCCCCCGGGTAGCCTACACAGGCTGATGGGGCAAGTGCTGCTAGCGAGCATCAGGCAAAGGTCCCCCGGGTAGCCTACACAGGCTGATGGGGCAAGTGCTGCTAGCGAGCATCAGGCAAAGGTCGTCGGGAGCAGCGACAATGGCGCGGACGAGGGGCTGGTGTGGCCTGCACCAAGCCCGCGTGCTGCAGCTTACTACGCACAGCACACGGTACTACTCATTTAAGGGGCCGTCCATAAATGACGTCACGCGATTTTGAAATATTTTTTACCCCCGCCCTCGTCACACGGCGTCACAAAGTCAGACCCCCCCCTCAAATATGACGTCACAAAGTTCTGCCCGCCCCCCCAAAAAAATAAAGCATGCTTCAAATAGTTTTAAACTATTGTCATTGTAGTGCGTATTTAATGTGGCACTGCACTCTGATGTTGTAGGAGAAAACATTTATTAATTAAGTAGAACGTGTTGTCTATATTTATTTAAAGTTACGCATTTTGATGTGACGTCACATCTATCAAACTCCCCCCCCCCTCGTCACACATCGTCACAAATGTCTGACCCCCCCCCCCCCAGGTGCGTGACGTCATTTATGGACGGCCCTTTTGTCCTGAACTCCGAAACCATACGGGAGTTACGCAACAAGAAATTGCGGACGTTAGGCGAGGATTCAGGGGCGGTCGAGACCACTCATACGTAGACTGTCACAGTAAAAGAAACATACAACTTTGAATAAATTAACATAAACAGGACCCTGCGGGGTGGGCTGGTAGGAACGAACAATTGAATGGCTATAATAAAATGAAATGGCAAAAAATGGGTGCCAATAAGTGGATGGAAACGTAGACGTAGTGGAACATAGGAAACAATAAAGTAGTAGTAACCGTTGTGCAAAAAATAATAGTATTGCACAAGTATGTACCTACGTGAGTGCAGCTTGGAGCAGACACAGTGAGTAGTAACAATCTGCACGATATGCAGCGCTGTCGTTTGGTGTGTACCACCCAGTGAAGTCGAGGGGGCCAAGAGGTGGGTGCAATCCCACAAGTGAAGCGGCATTCTGGACGCAATGTTTGGTGTTGAGAAGCTCGGTGTCCCCGGCCCCAGCTCGTTGCCCCGCCCCTTACCGCCGTAACCCCGCCCCAACCCCGCGTAGCCCCGCCCTCCACCTCGTGCCCACGCCCCCTGCTGCCGTTGCCCCGCCCAGCCCCGCGTAGCCCCGCCCCCTGCCGCTGTACCCCCGCCCAATACACCCCTAGCGGGGGAGAGATTCCCAGGCCTGGCTCTAGGCTGGAGAGCCGCCGACGAGGGGGGGGGGGTAGGGAGTTGTTTTTAATGTAAAAGCTTTAAATGTAAATGTTTCTATTAAAAAACATCAGGGAATGTAACATTGTTAAACATTAACTCCCTTTCACACACGCGGGGGTACGATACGAAGGGAGAGTTTGAGGCCTAGGTCTAGGCTTTAGGCCTAGCTGTAGGCTTTAGGCCGCCGTGAGTTAATTTTTAATTTAACTGTTTTTATTATTCATGTAAAAGCTTTAAATTTAAATGTTTCTATTTAAAAGCATCAGGGAATGTAACATTGTAAAACATTAACTCCCTTTCACACACGCGGGGGTACGATACGAAGGGAGAGTTTGAGGCCTAGGTCTAGGCTTTAGGCCTAGCTGTGAGTTAAATTTTAATTTACAAGTTTTAATTAAAAGCTATCTCAGGGAATTATAAGGGAATGTTACACTTGTTTAGCCAGGAAAGCCTCATTAATTTAAATATTTTAATTAAAAGCTATCTGAGGGAATTATAAGGGAATGTTACACTTGTTTAGCCAGGAAAGCCTCATTAATTTAAATATTTTAATTAAAAGCTATCTGAGGGAATTATAAGGGAATGTTACACTTGTTTAACCAGGAAAGCGTCACTGAGTCTAAAGGTTTTTGTAGGGTCATGCCAAGTGTTTGCAGTAGGGGGCGATGTTGCTACACGGATGGACGGATGGACGGACGGACAAACGGACGGACGATATAATCTATTGTAGGCTGGTCCACTTCGTTCCTACCAGTATAAATACACGACTGATCTCAGCGGCAGACCAGCTCATGCACATGGAGAGATGACGTCGCGGCAGCCATGTTGCGTGGGGACTTCACAGCGGCCATGTTGCATGGGGGGTTATCTTCATGGCGGCTGATTGGCTGGTGTAGTGAGTGACGCACAATGAGTACTTGACGCGTCACCGACACTGCTTCGGATCCAGTGACGATCGCTACCGATCGGATTTTCTTTACTCGGAACCTCCAGATCTCAAACGCTGAGCAGGATTGAGCGCGGATCGTGTTTGGATGTGCGACCACCACCATGCATACCACAGGTGCCATCGTCGGCTGCCGATGGGCTACGCTGCCGTGAGCAGGGGGCTCGTGTGCCAAGTGCGTTGTCAAGTTGAGTCTGTGCAAGCCGGTGGGAACTCGAGAGACCAGGACGAGTCTCATTTGCAAGACGGACCTCGGTCACCACAATGACAATGGCGTGCCAGTGCGGGCGTGTGTGTTAGTTCAGGCTTCACCGTGGGGTCGGTGTGCCAGTGCAGGCCTCACCGCGGGGTCGGTGTGCCAGTGCGGGTCTCACCGTGGGGTCGGTGTGCCGGCTCACGAGGATGGTCACGGGCCCTGGCTCTCGCTCGCTCAGCAGCGCAAATGCCTCGGCCAGACCACGGCCGGCACGGCACAGACTGCGGCCGGCCACCTCCAGCACCTGGTCACCACGCCTGGCACCGCACCGCGCACCACACACGCACCACACACGCACCACACACGCACCACACACGCAACACGTAGGCACCACGTACACACCACGTACGCTCCACGTACACACCACACATACACACCACACACACACACCACACCACACACTCACATGCCACACAACCCACATACACACCACACACACACACCACATATACACACTACACACACACCACACATACACACCACACACACCACACATACACACCACACATACACACCACACACACTCCACACATACACACCACACATACACCACACACACCACACATACACACCACATACCACACATACACACCACACACACACCACACACACCACATACACACCACACATACACACCACACATACACACCACACACACCACACACCACATACACACATGTAAGTGCTGTTAGCAAGCACTTATTAAGGCCAGAACAGCGCTCAATTGCGTGGTGTAGCCAACATTGCGCCTGACTGCCTTAATCTCCTCATTCTTTATATGTATACACAGCAACAGGTACTTATTTAAGGCTGAGTTTACTTAGGGGAGGCCCAGGACCGGTACAGGTCATCACCACTGATGTTGGCCGGGAGCTGGAATCGAAAAAAGATTGCCGGGTTCATGGCGCATTGCGCTAACCGCTGCGCCACCGCTCCCTGCTATACAAATATGCACTCCAAAGACACACACACTTACATGTGCACACATACGTACACACATACATCCACACCAATGTAAACACATTCACCCACATGCGCACTTATACCCACATGCACTCATTCACACGCATACATTCACATACACACCTACCAACACGGTCTCGCCTGACCTCTGACCTTTACCATTCACATCGCCCACCTGCTCTCTCACCTGCTCGCTCACCTGCACACTCACCTGAAACTCACTCACCCTCAAGCTCACCTCGCTCACACCCTCGCAATCTCTTCCACCTGCAAGGGGTTGAGGAGTGGGAGCAGGCGACCTCTGCGTGACCCCAGTGACCTCCGCCCTCACCTGAGTCGCCCGCTGAGCTGAGCGGCGGAGCCCGGAGCGAGGGAGAGGATGAACACCCTGGGGGGCCCTGCTGCCCCTCGTGGCCCCCGCGGGCTCCTCTCGGGGTCGGCTGCCCCCGTGCCCCTCTCAGCTGAGACACAGCACACGCCGATCCCGAGACCCACGCCTCGCTCTGTGGGGGGAGGGTGGGGGGGGGGCATGCTACTCACCTGCACGCTCACCTGCTCACTCATATGCAGTATTGTAGGTACCCACATGCTGACCTTTACACCTGCATGCGCTCTCTCTCTCTGCTCACCTGTCTGTTCACCTGCACACTCTATGCTCACCTGTACGCTCACCTGAATGCTCACCTGCACACTTGCATGTACACTCACCTGTAAGGTCACCTGCATACTCACCTCTTGCCAGGCGAGTGACCACTCAACCCATGTTTGCATGACCCCTCCACTGCCCTTTCGCCCCCATCCCACCGCTCCCCCCCCAGCCCCGTGTATTTGACCCTAAAACTCTGTGATGACCCTTGACCTTTCATAAGCGTGACCTCCACGACGATCTGGTCCATGGGGTCGCTCGCTTTCCCAGTCACATGACCGGAGCTCGGGGTGAGGCCAAAGGTCACGTCGAAGGCGAGGTCAAAGGTGGCGGCGCCGCAGAAAGGAGCGCGCACAGCCAACGTCACCACGCCGCGGGGCAGCCGCTAGGGGTCACAGGGTCAGGGGTCAGCGACAAGGGGGCAGCGCCTCAACCACGTGGCACCCACCGTTTGTATTGTTCAGTTCTGTCTCCTATGTTCTGACCAGTTTTTTTTAATAGTCCAACCTGCAGCACCACCACCATGTCCTCCACATTGAACTCACGAATCGTGACCCTGAGAATCGATCTCGCCCGCCTGCATTTCGCCATGCTCACCTTGAAAGTGGCGATGGCCTGCAGGTGGGTGAGGCCGCGCACGGGCTCCCCGTTCACCTCCAGCAGCTCATCGCCTGCCAGAGAAGCGCACAATGACAAAGTTCTGTTGGGGCAAGTGTTGTGAGCGAGTAGCACCTATTTAAGGCCGGAACGAGGGGCTGGGTGGCCAGAACTACGCCCGTCCGCCTTTGTCTCCAGAGTGGCGATGTTTGCACACCGCACCAAGTATTCATTTGAGGCTGAGTCGATCTAGGGCATGCCAAGGCCGATTTATATAATCGTTGCTGGTCGTAGCCGTGAGCGAGAAATCGAACTTGGGTCACCAGGTTCGAAGCGCAGTGCGTTAACCACTGCACCACCGCTCCCTATCATCCACTCAATCACCTACCCACCTACCCACTCATCCATTCACTCACTCACCCGCCCACTAACTCAGCCACCCACTCACCAAGACTTACAAATGTCCCGGGTGGAGCCAGGACAGGTGGCAACTCGAGACCACCTTCACTGCTGCGATTGCGCTCGAAAGGGGCAGCGCGTGTCAGGCCCTCACCATCACCATCACCCTCACCATCACCCTCACCATCACCCTCACCATCACCATCACCCTCACCATCACCATCACCCTCACCATCACCCTCACCATCACCCTCACCATCACCCTCACCATCACCATCACCCTCACCATCACCATCACCCTCACCATCACCCTCACCCTCGCCATCACCATCACCATCACCCTCACCATCACCATCACCCTCGCCATCACCCTCACCCTCACCATCACCATCACCCTCACCATCACCATCACCCTCACCATCACCATCACCCTCACCATCACCATCACCATCACCCTCACCATCACCATCACCATCACCCTCACCATCACCATCACCATCACCCTCACCCTCGCCATCACCCTCGCCATCACCCTCACCCTCACCATCACCATCACCCTCGCCATCACCCTCACCATCACCCTCACCATCACCCTCACCATCACCTTCACCATCACCATCACCATCACCCTCACCATCACCATCACCCTCACCATCACCATCACCCTCACCCTCACCACACCCTCACCATCACCCTCACCATCACCCTCACCACACCCTCACCATCACCATCACCATCACCCTCACCATCACCCTCACCATCACCATCACCATCACCCTCACCCTCACCATCACCCTCACCATCACCCTCACCATCACCATCACCCTCACCACACCATCACCCTCACCATCACCCTCACCATCACCCTCACCATCACCATCACCATCACCACACCCTCACCATCACCCTCACCACACCATCACCATCACCCTCACCCTCACCATCACCCTCACCATCACCCTCACCATCACCATCACCCTCACCATCACCATCACCCTCACCATCACCCTCACCATCACCCTCACCATCACCCCCACCATCACCCTCACCATCACCCTCACTATCACCATCACCCTCACCATCACCCTCGCCATCACCATCACCCTCACCATCACCATCACCCTCACCATCACCCTCACCATCACCCTTACCCTCACCATCACCCTCACCATCACCCTCGCCATCACCATCACCCTCACCATCACCATCACCCTCACCATCACCCTCACCCTCACCATCACCATCACCCTCACCATCACCATCACCCTCGCCATCACCATCACCATCACCCTCACAATCACCCTCGCCATCACCATCACCATCACCCTCACAATCACCCTCACCATCACCATCACCCTCGCCATCACCATCACCATCACCCTCGCCATCACCCTCACCATCACCCTCGCCATCACCATCACCATCACCCTCGCCATCACCATCACCCTCACCCTCACCATCACCCTCACCATCACCCTCGCCATCACCATCGCCCTCGCCATCACCATCACCCTCACCATCACCATCACCATTACCCTCACCCTCACCATCACCCTCACCCTCACCATTACCATCACCATCACCCTCACCATTACCATCACCCTCGCCCTCACCATCACCATCACCCTCGCCATCACCATCACCATCACCCTCGCCATCACCATCACCATCACCCTCACCATTACCCTCACCCTCACCATCACCCTCACCCTCACCCTCACCATCACCATCACCCTCACCATCACCATCACCCTCACCATCACCATCACCCTCACCATCACCATCACCCTCACCATCACCCTCAACCTCACCATCACCATCACCCTCACCATCACCCTCACCCTCACCATCACCATCACCATCACCCTCACCCTCACCATCACCATCACCATCACCATCACCCTCACCATCACCATCACCCTCACCATCACCCTCAACCTCACCATCACCCTCACCATCACCATCACCCTCACCATCACCCTCACCATCACCCTCACCCTCAACCTCACCATCAACCTCACCATCACCATCACCATCACCCTCACCCTCACCATCACCATCACCCTCACCATCACCCTCAACCTCACCATCACCCTCACCATCACCATCACCCTCACCATCACCCTCACCATCACCCTCACCCTCACCATCACCCTCACCATCACCATCACCCTCACCATCACCCTCAACCTCACCATCACCCTCACCATCACCCTCACCCTCACCATCACCCTCACCCTCACCACACCATCACCATCACCCTCACCATCACCATCACCCTCACCATCACCCTCACCATCACCATCACCCTCACCCTCACCATCACCCTCACCCTCACCATCACCCTCACCCTCACCATCACCATCACCCTCGCCATCACCCTCGCCCTCACCATCACCCTCACCCTCACCATCACCATCACCCTCACCATCACCATCACCCTCACCCTCACCATCACCCTCACCCTCACCATCACCATCACCCTCACCCTCACCATCACCATCACCATCACCCTCACCATCACCCTCACCATCACCATCACCCTCACCCTCACCATCACCCTCATCCTCACCATCACCCTCACCATCACCCTCACCCTCACCATCACCCTCACCATCACCATCACCCTCACCATCACCCTCACCATCACCCTCAACCTCGCCCTCACCATCACCCTCACCATCACCCTCACCATCACCATCACCCTCGCCATCACCATCACCCTCACCATCACCCTCACCATCACCCTCAACCTCACCATCACCATCACCCTCACCATCACCCTCACCATCACCCTCACCCTCACCATCACCCTCACCATCACCCTCAACCTCACCATCACCCTCACCATCACCCTCACCCTCACCATCACCCTCACCATCACCATCACCCTCACCATCACCATCACCCTCACCATCACCCTCACCATCACCATCACCCTCACCATCACCCTCACCATCACCATCACCCTCACCCTCACCATCACCCTCACCATCACCCTCACCATCACCATCACCCTCACCCTCACCATCACCCTCACCCTCACCATCACCCTCACCCTCACCATCACCATCACCCTCACCATCACCCTCGCCCTCACCCTCACGCAGCCGGCCATCCATGGCAGCGGCCCCCCCGGGGAAGACGGTCTTCACGAAGATTCCCATGACGCCGCGTGTCGAGTCGCGCCCGCCCACGATGCTGAAGCCCAGGCCCTGGAGACGATGACACGCGTTAGTGTGGGCCACGATGACACGTTAATGTGGGCCACGGTGACACGTTAGTGTGGGCCACGATGACACATTAATGTGGGCCACGGTGACACGTTAGTGTGGGCCACGATGTCACGTTAGTGTGGGCCTCGATGTCACGTTAGTGTGGGCCACGGTGTCACGTTAGTGTGGGCCACGGTGACACGTTAGTGTGGGCCACGATGTCACGTTAGTGTGGGCCACGGTGACACGTTAGTGTGGGCCTCGATGTCACGTTAGTGTGGGCCACGATGTCACGTTAGTGTGGGCCACGGTGACACGTTAGTGTGGGCCACGATGTCACGTTAGTGTGGGCCACGGTGACACGTTAGTGTGGGCCTCGATGTCACGTTAGTGTGGGCCACGGTGACACGTTAGTGTGGGCCTCGATGTCACGTTAGTGTGGGCCTCGATGTCACGTTAGTGTGGGCCATGGTGACACGTTAGTGTGGGCCTCGATGTCACGTTAGTGTGGGCCACGATGGCACGTTAGTGTGGGCCTCGATGTCACGTTAGTGTGGGCCATGGTGACACGTTAGTGTGGGCCTCGATGTCACGTTAGTGTGGGCCTCGATGTCACGTTAGTGTGGGCCACGATGTCACGTTAGTGTGGGCCATGGTGACACGTTAGTGTGGGCCTCGATGTCACGTTAGTGTGGGCCTCGATGTCACGTTAGTGTGGGCCTCGATGTCACGTTAGTGTGGGCCTCGATGTCACGTTAGTGTGGGCCATGGTGACACGTTAGTGTGGGCCTCGATGTCACGTTAGTGTGGGCCTCGATGTCACGTTAGTGTGGGCCTCGATGTCACGTTAGTGTGGGCCTCGATGTCACGTTAGTGTGGGCCACGATGTCACGTTAGTGTGGGCCACGGTGGCACGTTAGTGTGGGCCTCGATGTCACGTTAGTATGGGCCACGATGGCACGTTAGTGTGGGTCACGGTGGCACGCGTTAGTGTGGGCCACGATGTCACGTTAGTGTGGGCCACGATGACACGTTAGTGTGGGCCACAGTGGCACGTTAGTGTGGGCCACGATGTCACGTTAATGTGGGCCACGGTGGCACGTTAGTGTGGGCCACGATGTCACGTTAGTGTGGGCCACGATGACACGTTAGTGTGGGCCACGGTGGCACGTTAGTGTGGGCCACGATGACACGTTAGTGTGGGCCACGGTGGCACGTTAGTGTGGGCATCGATGTCACGTTAATGTGGGCCACGGTGGCACGTTAGTGTGGGCCACGATGGCACGTTAGTGTGGGCCACGGTGGCACGTTAGTGTGGGCCACGATGTCACGTTAATGTGGGCCATGGTGGCACGTTAGTGTGGGCCACGATGACACGTTAGTGTGGGCCATGGTGGCACGTTAGTGTGGGCCACGATGACACGTTAGTGTGGGCCACGATGTCACGTTAGTGTGGGCCACGATGACACGTTAGTGTGGGCCACGATGACAAGTTAGTGTGGGCCACGGTGGCACGTTAGTGTGGGCCACGATGGCACGTTAGTGTGGGCCACGATGTCACGTTAGTGTGGGCCACGATGAGACGTTAGTGTGGGCCACGATGACACGTTAGTGTGGGCCACGGTGACACGTTAGTGTGGGCCACGGTGACACGTTAGTGTGGGCCTCGATGTCACGTTAGTGTGGGCCTCGATGTCACGTTAGTGTGGGCCACGATGGCAAGTTAGTGTGGGCCACGATGTCACGTTAGTGTGGGCCTCGATGTCACGTTAGTGTGGGCCACGGTGGCACGTTAGTGTGGGCCACGGTGACACGTTAGTGTGGGCCATGGTGACACGTTAGTGTGGGCCACGATGGCACGTTAGTGTGAGCCTCGATGTCACGTTAGTGTGGGCCTCGATGTCACGTTAGTGTGGGCCACGGTGGCACGTTAGTGTGGGCCATGATGACACGTTAGTGTGAGCCACGGTGACACGTTAGTGTGGGCCTCGATGTCACGTTAGTGTGGGCCTCAATGTCACGTTAATGTGGGCTACGGTGACACGTTAATGTGGGCCACGGTGACACGTTAGTGTGGGCCTCGATGTCACGTTAGTGTGGGCCACGGTGGCACGTTAGTGTGGGTCACGGTGGCACGCGTTAGTGTGGGCCACGATGACACGCGTTAGTGTGAGCCACGATGGCATGTGTTAGTGTGGGCCACGGTGGCACGCGTTAGTGTGGGCCACGGTGGCACGCGTTAGTGTGGGCCACGATGACACGCGTTAGTGTGAGCCACGATGGCATGTGTTAGTGTGGGCCATGATGGCACACGTTAGTGTGGGCCACGATGGCACGTTAGTGTGGGCCTCGATGTCACGTGTTAGTGTGGGCCACGATGACACGTTAGTGTGGGCCACGATTGCACGTTAGTGTGGGCCACGATGGCACGTTAGTGTGGGCCACGATGACACGTTAGTGTGGGCCACGATGACACGTTAGTGTGGGCCACGATGACACGTTAGTGTGGGCCACGATGACACGTTAGTGTGGGCCACGATGGCACGTTAGTGTGGGCCACGATGACACGTTAGTGTGGGCCACGATGGCACGTTAGTGTGGGCCACGATGACACGTTAGTGTGGGCCACGATGACACGTTAGTGTGGGCCACGGTGGCACGCGTTAGTGTGGGCCACGGTGGCACGCGTTAGTGTGGGCCACGGTGGCACACGTTAGTGTGGGCCACGATGGCACACGTTAGTGTGGGCCACGATGGCACGTTAGTGTGGGCCTCGATGTCACGTGTTAGTGTGGGCCACGATGACACGTTAGTGTGGGCCACGATTAAACGTTAGTGTGGGCCACGATGACACGTTAGTGTGGGCCTCGATGTCACGTTAGTGTGGGCCACGATGACACGTTAGTGTGGGCCACGATGACACGTTAGTGTGGGCCACGATGACACGTTAGTGTGGGCCACGATGGCACGTTAGTGTGGGCCACGATGACACGTTAGTGTGGGCCACGATGGCACGTTAGTGTGGGCCACGATGGCACGTTAGTGTGGGCCACGATGACACGTTAGTGTGGGCCTCGATGACACGTTAGTGTGGGCAACGGTGACACGTTAGTGTGGGCCACGATGACACGTTAGTGTGGGCCACGATGACACGTTAGTGTGGGCCACGATGACACGTTAGTGTGGGCCACGGTGACACGTTAGTGTGGGCCACGATGACACGTTAGTGTGGGCCACGATGACACGTTAGTGTGGGCCACGATGGCACGTTAGTGTGGGCCACGATGACACGTTAGTGTGGGCCACGGTGACACGTTAGTGTGGGCCTCGATGTCACGTTAATGTGGGCCACGGTGGCACGTTAGTGTGGGCCACGATGACACGTTAATGTGGGCCACGGTGGCATGTGTTAGTGTGGGCCGCGATGTTACACGTTAATGTGGGCCACGGTGGCACGCGTTAGTGTGGGCCACTATGGCACGCGTTAGCGTGGGCCACGGTGGCACGCGTTAGTGTGGGCCACGATGGCACGCGTTAGTGTGGGCCACGATGGCACGTTAGTGTGGGCCACGATGACACGTTAGTGTGGGCCACGATGACACGTTAGTGTGGGCCATGATGTCACGTGTTAGCGTGGGCCACGATGACACGTTAGTGTGGGCCACGGTGGCATGCGTTAGCGTGGGCCACGGTGGCACGCGTAAGCGTGGGCCACGGTGGCACGCGTTAGCGTGGGCCACGGTGGCACGCGTTAGCGTGGGCCACGGTGGCATGCGTTAGCGTGGGCCACGATGGCACGTGTTAGTGTGGGCCGCGATGGCACGTTAGTGTGGGCCACGATGACACGTTAGTGTGGGCCACGGTGGCATGTGTTAGTGTGGGCCGCGATGTTACGCGTTAGTGTGGGCCACGGTGACACGCGTTAGTGCGGGCCACTATGGCACGCGTTAGCGTGGGCCACGGTGACACGCGTTAGTGTGGGCCACGATGGCACGCGTTAGTGTGGGCCACGATGGCACGTTAGTGTGGGCCACGATGACACGTTAGTGTGGGCCACGATGACACGTTAGTGTGGGCCATGATGTCACGTGTTAGCGTGGGCCACGATGACACGTTAGTGTGGGCCACGGTGGCACGCGTTAGCGTGGGCCACGGTGGCACGCGTTAGCGTGGGCCACGGTGGCACGCGTTAGCGTGGGCCACGATGGCACGTGTTAGTGTGGGCCGCGATGGCACGCGTTAGTGTGGGCCGCGATGTCACGTGTTAGCGTGGGTCACGATTTCACGCGTTAGTGTGGGCCACGATGACACGCGTTAGTGTGAGCCACGATGGTATGTGTTAGTGTGGGCCACGGTGGCACGCGTTAGTGTGGGCCACGGTGGCACGCGTTAGTGTGGGCCACGATGGCACACGTTAGTGTGGGCCACGATGGCACACGTTAGTGTGGGCCACGATGGCACGTTAGTGTGGGCCTCAATGTCACGTGTTAGTGTGGGCCACGATGACACGTTAGTGTGGGCCACGGTGGCACGTTAGTGTGGGCCTCGATGTCACGTTAGTATGGGCCACGATGGCACGTTAGTGTGGGTCACGGTGGCACGCGTTAGTGTGGGCCACGATGTCACGTTAGTGTGGGCCACGATGACACGTTAGTGTGGGCCACAGTGGCACGTTAGTGTGGGCCACGATGTCACGTTAATGTGGGCCACGGTGGCACGTTAGTGTGGGCCACGATGTCACGTTAGTGTGGGCCACGATGACACGTTAGTGTGGGCCACGGTGGCACGTTAGTGTGGGCCACGATGACACGTTAGTGTGGGCCACGGTGGCACGTTAGTGTGGGCATCGATGTCACGTTAATGTGGGCCACGGTGGCACGTTAGTGTGGGCCACGATGGCACGTTAGTGTGGGCCACGGTGGCACGTTAGTGTGGGCCACGATGTCACGTTAATGTGGGCCATGGTGGCACGTTAGTGTGGGCCACGATGACACGTTAGT